GATGTCAATGCGCTTTTGTATGTAATGGGACATTGCCTAAGTCTGGAGACAATGCCTTGTGACCAGGTGCTTCAAATGGCAGCCAGCCTTTCAGTCACAGCCTTCAAACTAGCCCAGGCTGTACACAAAATCAATAGCACGCACAGGAAACACCTAGCTAAATCTGATTGTTACATAGCTACCCTGGTGAGAGACAACTGTTAAAGGTCTATTATTTTTCCTCAGGGAGGCACAGTGTGTGTAGGTGGAACAAACAGCAGGTCATGTTAGTGACACTGGTATTCATTATGTTGCTGACAGTTCGGCTGTTGTTAACAGCACCTCTTTACTTCATTTTACATACTGAAGACAAGTTCATGCAACACAGGAGCAGACTGAATGGACTCAGTGGCAGTAAGCCAAAAGTTTAAATGAATCCTTGTACGTGGCTAAGGCACATCCAAAAATTTGATAGTAAAAGAAATGTTTCAGTGCCTTCAGTCGCTGTCAGAATCACAACTTTCAGCCTTGAAATTAGGCCAAATTTCTAATTACAAAGCCACATATCAATTGAAAAATGATTCAATATATTTAGCTGACCAAAAGCTTAGTCAACCAGAAGACTACTTGGCTAAAATTACACCTGTTTAGAGGCACATACAGTTAATCTACAGTTGGGCGGTAGAAAAACAGAAATTATAATTACAGTATATAAAGTACATCTCTACAGTAACAGGTTCTAAGTATGTACTGTATGTATGCATGGAAATATAATGATCTGAAAAACTATTGTCTCCAGTGTCAAGAAATTTTCATGTGACGTGGTTTCAGTCTGCTGAGGAAGATCCTTCAGTATGATGGGACCAAAAGCTCCCAAACAGCTACCAAGCAGACGTCGTGAGATTGTTGTTGCTGTTTCCACAGGCAAGAATTCTCGATCTCCATTTCCTCCTGAGCTTGTTCAAAAAAGAAAATGTTTACTTTTGAGTTCTGAATTTATTTTAATATCTTTAACCAATCTGCTAAAAAAGATTGAGAAATGATTGAAAGCCACTAAAAAGACCTCGTGGTGAGGGTTCCTGTTCAGCTAAGTAAATTAAACTGAATATGTACAGATGACAACTAAAACCGCATGGATATGTCTAAAGAGGCTGTAGCAGCCTCTGTATTACTTCACCCTCAACAAGGATGTACTGAAATGCAGCTCTGGTTTCATTAAAGCGGTGGTAAGACTGAGTCTTTTGTCACATCTAAATGTTTGAATCGGAGGCTACATTAGCAATAGCAATGTAACTAAAGACCTGCTAGTAGTGTGAATACCGGATCCTGCAGGCTGTCTGTGTATATGCTCCGAACAGCGTGACTCCAGGGAGCCACAAGTCAGCAGGGTAAATGGCTAAATTACTTTGGCAAAAAGATTCTTTACAATGCATTCATAAATGGCTACTGCAGAATATGCTATTAACCAAAAAAGAAAAAAACATTCCCATTTTCTCCTACATAATTTTGTCAACTGAAAACGATTCATTCTACTTCGGGTGCTATTCATCTCAGTTACAGCTCAGATGTCATTGGCTATAATGCTTGTCTGTCCTTTAGAGGGATTTCAAATGCTTTGTTTTTGTAAATATTTTCATTTGATGGATTTCTTGCACCAGGCAAACAACTACATTTAAACAGAAATCGATATCTTTCTTACCTTGCCTTTATCCCTCATGGACCCTTTGCCTAGGATAGACATCTTCACTCCCGTTTCTTCTTGTAATCGTTTCATGGAATTTCCTCGTGGTCCCAGCAGCTTCCCAACAAAATTAAACTGTTACAGGAGAGAAAAACCAGACTCCTTATCAGCGCTTCCAACATATGTGGAAAACACAATGAAAACTCTCATTTATACGTCTTCATATAGTATTCAGGCTCCTTCACCTTTTGCACACTTCATTGTGTGGTAGGTTTAACTTTTATTATTGTCATTTTTGTGCATCAGTCTACACTCAATAACCCACAATGACAAATTTATTAAAAAACAAAAAACTGAAACCTTTTTAATTAAGTCCTTTGGCATCAAGTCATCTTGGGTAACTCTCTATAAGCTGTATACAATCGTCCTTGCAGATCCTACAGGCACCATCAGATTGGATGGCAAGTGTTTGTGAACTGCCATCTTCAGATGGTTCCACAGATGTTCTCTAGGGTTTACTGTAGGTCTGTCATTACCTGGGTTATTCAAGGGCAGTCAGACCTGTCCTGGCCACTAGAGCACTGTGTTGTAAGCATTGGGACGCTGTCATGTTGAAAGGTGAACCGCTGCACAAGTCTGCACTCTGGAGCATGTTCTCTTGAAGGACCTCTCGCTATTTGGCTGCATTTATCCTTTCCTCAATTGTGACCAGTCTCCCTGTCCCTGCCCCTGAGAAGCGCCCACATTCCATGATGTGGCGACTGCCATGCATCGTTGTACTGTTAGTGATGAGCGGTGCTTGATGTTTCCCAGATATTATGCTTTGAGTTCTGCCCAAAGGGTAAAATGTTTGCCTCATGCTTTTAAATTCATTTTAAATGCTTTTTGGCTGACCCTTGGGTTATTAGTCACCGGCCTGGCCAAAGCCCTTCTTGCCTAGTAACTCTATTTGGTTGACAGCCAATTCTAAAAAGAGTCCAGGTGGTTGCAGATTTCTTCTGAACACCCAAAGCTTGCCCTGATCTATAGCTCACCACAGTTTTAGCACAGAGGTCTACAGAGAGTTCTTTGGGCTTCGTGGCTGGGTTTTTGGTCCTGACCTGTTTTTGTCATTAGAAATTATTGAGTATAGGCTAATGGGCAAAACTTGAACTTTTATCCTTTTGAAGTTAAATCTGCAACACAGTAGTGTGTGACCACTTTCTGAAGTGACTGTAAAAACATGTTTCTGAACAAGTGTCACGCTGTATGTGTTAGATCTCAAAGGAATCTGATGTATTTAGAAAAAAGATGAACCATAACAGATGTTTGCAGGTCATTAGTTACCTATTATCAGTGTAATCCCACATTCCATTCACCATTCATCATGCGATAAAAAAGCTGTAATGTAGCCTGTAAAAAATCACTGTAATTATGCCCTGTATGTAGCATGTTACTAATAAACAGGACCCTCATTTGTTGTCTGGCATAAAAGGATTCATCCATCTTTTGCCATGAACTGTTCCCTCACTAGTCATGTATCTTATTGGCGTTAAGGGTCATCCATGTTGTGCTGTGAAAAGGGAGCATGGGCTCAAACCAGTAACATTTCTGAGACTACTCGAGAGGTCAGCACTGTGATAAAGCCAGAAATAATGAGTTTCTTCCCAGTGGGAAATTAAGTAATGCTATCCAGATGACAAACTATCAGATCAGGGCTCCGACTGTCACGTCCCTCTCACTGTGCACAAGCTAGTGTTCATACAGGCACAACAATGCTGAGATTAGTGGTGATCAAGGAGGTGAAACTCATAACACAACCGTAGCCAAATTGGTTGTTTCTGAAGACAAAAGATGAAAAAAGAGACAATCTTTTGCTATTTGAAACAAGTTTATCAAGTCTACGTATCTCACACTTTTTTCTTTTCTTTTTTTGTAATAAATGGTTCGACCTTCAAATGTTTGCTGCTGGATAAGATAAGAGACCACCTCCAGAGATGAACAGGTGGTCAGCCGCCCACCACACCGTACTCTGGCCAATTCTAAAATGATATTAACCTTTTCACAAAGCAGCATCTCCCACTGTGGCTGAGTGGCTAATAACTTGACTGCCAGCTGTGTGGCTGCTGCAGCTCAACTCAGACAACCGCACACTCAGCTTATTTCATGAAGATCATTAACATCCTGAGCAAACGCTACAGCTCAGGTTAGGGAAGCGCCAAGGCACGCGGAGATGAAGCCATCTAGGAAAAAAAAGCATCCCTAATGTCCCCGCCTGTCCTCTGATTTGAATGATTAGGGCACCTTTGTGGATATGTTTCTTCACAGGGGTCGCTTTGACAGGACTATCCTAGCTGGCAGGGAGCTTGAGAGCAGATGGTCATTGCGGCTACGTCTAGAGCATGCTCGCAGGGCGGTAGAGAAAGAGTGGCCTGTTTTCATTAAGCTAATGAATGTCTAGAGCCACTCTGCTGCTCCATGGTGAGCAATTTGGGCTTCAGAAAGGGGCACAGCTCTGTGTTAAATGAGGTTTAAAATGATGCAATGTGCCCCCTGCAGTCTCAACACTGATCACTATGCAGATATTAGAAGGAAGAGTGTTGGGAATGCAACAATTATGCAAAAAATATATTTCAGATTGAACAAATATTCACTGATAAAATGGGTGAACTGATCTACTTATTTGTATTTCACAAAGCGTAGCTGTTACATGAAGGGCAAACATTTAATTGAGAGCTTCTGTGCAGTCAAAATTCTAATATATTAAGCTCCTTATTAATTCAGAAAACTGAGTTGTGTAACTTCGTTTGGTTTTGAGTGACAGCGTTTCTGATTTGGTTTGTGTTTTCTGTATATGAAATTTATGTGGCTAATAATGTTTCATAATTCGCTTAAATTTCCTTAAAGATGAACTCCACAAATTTTACACACGAAGGTGCCTTGGTCTTGGGGAGTCCAACTGCATATGTGAAAAAGTTGAATAAAGTCCTTTGGTAGCTCCAGAGAAAGAGCTGTGTGAAATCTGATACACAGACCTAAGTGATGTCACAGTAGGGCCTGAGGACTACAAGTCTGAAGATGAAAAAAACTCTTGGGATGTTGAGTTAGACAGATGTGATTTTATCAGTCCTCTGGAGCTCGCTCCTTATCTCTACTTGAGACTAGCTGTTCGAGGCCACATTAACTGCTTGTAGAATAACATACCAGAATCTCTGACCAAGCTGTGTTGCATTGTGGGAAAGGTAGGCACCAGGTTTTGAAACAGAGTAAAAATGCACTAAATTAAAAAAAATGCAGTATCTCTGATTCTGCTGCATCAAGCCTGATCCTTTTTTAACTGTCCATTGTTGGTCCAATAATGGTATAAAGTGCAATTCAAAATCAATGAAAAGCTCTTTAAGATCTAAAAACCACAACAGGCAGGACCTTGAACAGAGTACATCTGTCACATAGTATGGCTAAGCCCTGTGTCATTATAAGTAATCTATATGTATTCTTCTTCTTTTTGGGTGTGTTTGTGTCTGGTTTCATAAATGAGATCAGCTCAGTGATCATCCCTTTGTACCACTACAATATTTAGAAAAAAAAAAGTAATCTTGCCCAAAGTTTCTTATTAAAAGTCTCAGCGATCTTCATTTATCTTCTTGTCATAAATGACAGCAGTGACTGAGAGTTGTGGGTAAATTACTAAAAGATTTTGGCACAAAAGACACAAGTCTGGAATCCCACTTGTCACTTTGTTCTGCATTCATACCACAAGCAAAGACTTGGCATGGGACTCATTGTAGACATGTAAACCTGAGCATAACAATGTATTTGTTTGTTTTTACAATGGGAAGACTGAACCAGGAGTGATCCATGGTATGCACTCAGCAGTAACTAACACACAATAAGGTGATCTTACTTAGCAAAAGTAGGTTTTCTGCAACTGAAGCTACAGTATGTACTGATCTTATTTCTGTACAGTATATACTTTTCAAAATGTTGTACACCTGTAATGCAGAACAATCTCCCTGAGCATGAAGGTGTTAATATTCATACGAACTGGTGAGTAAAGCCTGATCACATTTGACTTATTGCACTCTGTATGTAAAACAAAATAACCAAACATGATTGATGTATATGCCACAATGTTGATGTAGCATTTTATCTTTATTTCATACCATGGCACTAATGTGCCCTCAGAGGACTGGGATCTTTATGAATACACAATAACATCCCAGCTGAGTGTCAAAGCAACACACACACACACACACACACACAAAACCACTTAAAATAATGTTACTTTGAAAAGAATTGATCACATTTATAGTCATGCTTATTGCAAATATAAAGTAATAAAAGTCATTAAATGGAAAAAAGCTGAAAAAATAAATCACAGATAAAAGGATGCACGCACATAAATAAAAAAAAAATCAAAAGAACTTCAAGACAATGATTTGTACCAACAGAGCATGGTTTCATGATTTTCTATAAAGTCAGTTCCATGGAAAGCATGGAAATATCAACACTTTGCAACTCGTCATGGCGCTGGCAGTGCAGATCCAATAACAAAACAGCTGTTCAGAATTCAGGTTGGAAATGGTGGCCAATCTTTAATGCAGTGCACTGGGGCCAGTCAAGATTTGCAGATGTCCTGAGGCACTTACTGCCAGGTTAGCGAGCTGTGCTGTTGGGGAAGTCCAGGTCCTGTTTGATAGGAGGATTAAAGCCTCAGGTAGAGGTTTATGCTTTAATAACAGCCAGGGATGACTAGGCTGCAAGTGTGTCCTATCGGCTCTGCAGACATTAAAGAAAGCAGTGAAGTGGTTGTTTGGTGCGTGTGTGACAAGCAGGGGAAAGTTACTGTTCACCCAACTGAGCTTTTCAGAAAGAAAAACAAATCATGAAAGGGTCTGAAGAGAGATTGTCTGCCAGTGTTAATGCTAAACAGCATAATCAGATATTAAACTATGACTTCATTCTACAGCTGTTGTTATAGTTCAGGATGTTTTCTTTGGTCAAAACTAAAAGGAACAAAAAATGTCAGATATGTGCAAGCAGGCATTTTAGGATCCGTGTACAACATAGAATTCACACTGAATGTTAAATATACAGTGGGTACGGAAAG